CGCCGCCTTCGCGCGAGGAGCCCAGGACGTTCGGGAGCGCGTCTACAGTTGTGTGCTCACACAACCAATACTTCAACAAAACAACAAAGACATATGTTATTTAGAATTTGCATAGTAATGTCAACATATATGAACATTAACAATAGTGGCACTGTTGTGAACATTCACAGTAGTATATCATGAGTGAATATGAACTTTCACATCAGTGGTATAGATGTGAGCATTCACATCTGTGAAACATAAGTGCATATGGACATTCACATCAGTGGTACAGATTTGAATGTTCACAGTTGGCATAGATAAACAACACTCAAGGACATGTGAATGTTATTATTTGAGAACATGGGTACTTACCATCAATAACATGACACAGCCGGTGACTTTTGTCGGCTTTTTGTCGTTTTGGGAAATGGAGGATATCAACGTTGTTCTAATTTGCTTGGCCCAATCACATTCTTATATGCTTTTCCAATGGGACCATATGTGCGTACTAGCCCCATCCTATTGTCTCACCGCTTGTCGAGAAAAAAAGTTTTTGGCAAGTATACATGCAGACTAGTTGGGTGACTTCTTCGTTGCCATCTTTCTTTTTGCCTTTCAATGGCTCGGTCAAAAGGGTGCGTATCCATTTTGAAGTCAATCGGTTGACATTTTTGCACCTTTTGTTTATAATGCCAGTCTTTGGTTTCGCACCATATGATATGTCCATTGGCTTGGTGTACAATCCACACCAAAAATCAGCTTGATGTCATTGTCGTATATGTTCATTTTATTCTCCTTAATATAGAAGGCATATTTTGAAGCTTTGTACATTTGTAGGACATACACAACAACATCATCGTATTTCATGCATATGTCAAGGTCGATCTCACCGTTTCTCAATGCATCTAATAAATGCCAGAAAGGTGTTTGCCGTAGGTAGCCAAGCTGTGCTTGTGTGAATTTGGTGCTTTTCATTAATTTCACCAGTCTGGTCATGTTAGATCTGTAGTTGACACGCGACATGTCAATATTGCTGCTAGTATTTGCTTGTGGGCTTTCTTCCTTGACATGGTACTCATCTCTTTTTCTCTTTGAGACTTTCTTCTGTGTAATATCTGCAAAATGGAGCATTTAAAAAAAATTAAGAAAAGGCTCATGTAATTAGCATAGTGGAAAAAATGTGAACATTCACAGCATTGCCATTGATGTGAATGTTCACAGTTGTGTGCATGGGTGTGAATGTCCACAATTTTGTGTATGGATGTGAATATCCACATCTGTACATGGATGTGGATGTTGACTGTGTCAGCACAAACACAACGTGCATATTGTGTGAGTGTATAAAAATCAATGTATGTTTATACAACCGTGAACAACATTCAAGAACGTGTAGATGTTAACACAAACAAATAAAAGGATGTTGTGAACATTTACAGTCCTAATTTGTATGGCAATGCACATTCTTACTACAATCATGCAATGCCAATCTTATAACACAATCTCAAAATTGAAATACAATTTGAAACATGGGATAACGAAAGTGATATATTTCTTCTAAATACAGTGGTTAATGTTCACAAAGTGTCTAATTAATTTACACATGTAATGAATGTTCACAATATAATTATGTATCACAACAATATCAAACACAAGGAATTTTAAATGTGAATGTTCACTACGGTTAATAACAACAATTTGATAGAGGGGGAAAGGATAGTGTCAATATTCGCAGGGACTGTATTTCATGCCACTTTCATGGAAAATAATCAAGAATTGAATGTTCAAATTATTGGATTGCCATTAACAATCAACAATACCAACAAGGCAAACATTCACAAAAGGAGAAAAAAAAAACTACAATATTACAAAATAATGATTGGCCAAACATTTTCAATCCATGTGAAAGTTCACAGCTTTCAACAACAATAACAATAATATCTGAAATAATTTGATTATCCAAACATTTTCAATCCATGTGAATGTTCACAGCCTTCAACAACAACAACAACAACAACAACAACAACAACAAAAACAATTTGGTTTGGCCAACATTCTTCCAAACCATTTGAATGTTCACAGTTGTGAACACAACATAATGGCAACTGTAATGTTTTTAAGTAAAAAAATCAATATAATTAGGGATTACGATTGAGGGGTTCGGATTAAAGGTTAGGGTATGAACAATATGGACTCCTATATATTGTATGAATAGAAACTTGGGATATTTGTGAAAGTTCACAATGTTATTTGTTGAAAAAGAGATTTAGGGTTTACATACAAGAATGAGTAGATTACTTACGTTTTGTGCCCATTTCGACGGTTGCGTTGTCACAAATTGCCGTCGAAGGTAATTTTGATGAAGATAGACCTTACGGATGTTCAACAATGGTGATTCCACGATTTCGGCGATCGACGGCGTAGGGATGACGAAGAAGATGATGAGACGATGCGACGATGCGACAAAGACAGTTTTCTGGGCGTTGAGACAATATGGAATACAACTTTGGAAATGAGTAGATTACTTACGTTTTTTGCCCATTTCGACGGTTGCGTTGTCACAAATTGCCGTCGAAGGTAATTTTGACAAAGATAGACCTTACGGATGTTCAACAATGGTGATTCCACGATTTCGGCGATCGACGGCGTAGGGATGACGAAGAAGATGATGAGACGATGCGACGATGCGACAAAGACAGTTTTCTGGGCGTTGAGACAATATGGAATACAACTTTGGATTTTTGGAATGGTAGAGATACTGTGCGTGATTTCCTGCAAGAAGAGAGGGGAAGCGAGACGGTTATTTAATTCAAAGAAAGGCTAGGCGCGTGTTTATTTGAGGGCTTTTTTGGTCTTTTAGTATGAAATGGACCTAATGGAATATTATAAAACACTATTGGTCTTATGGAATAACACTCTTAAATAATGGATTTACTGAAAAAGCACCCTAAAAAAATAATAATAAGAAACTTAATTTTTAGAAAATTGAATCTAACAAATTGAAAGCAAATACAGTTAATATTTTTTATATAAAAAATTAGTAAGATCTCCACTAGGGGTGACCCCCACCACCCCCAGTGAATGCTGATTGATCCAATTTTTTTTTTTTTTGTGTCGTCCTCTCGTTGACGTGTATGTGGGGGTGGTGAGGGTTTGTATCAGTTTTGTTTTTATATTTATAATTACACTGCTATTCATTAAAAAAAAATTCGATGATTGGTATTAGATAGAGACACATTTTTGCCCTATACCACCTAATATTTTTTCTATTACAAGAATGTTCGAATTTAAAATTTGTTTAAATCACCCAAATTCATGCATATCGTTAATTATTTGTATGATTGATGTGACATTTATTTATTACAATTATCACCTTTGTTGATCAGAACTAGCACTTTATTACGGAGGGTTATTTTAAAAAAATGATTAAAAGTTAATTTTTTAATTTTTTTTAAAATATAAGAGATAATATAACTCAAAATAAATTAAAAATTAAAAAATAACTTTTAACTATCTTCGTAAAATAGTCTTGAATGAGAGCATCCTCATCAAACTCGGTAAAATCATTTTTTAGCTAATAAATTTCAAAAAATCAAGTTCATCAAATTCGCTTGCAGCTCGTCAAAATTTATGATTGTTACAATATCTCGTTACAACAAGCGAGGTACTATTTATCGCTAGATTAGTGTTACCGAATGTCCGTCCGGAAGTTCGGCTGATCAACCGGTCAAAGGCAAATTTTTTTTTTTTAAAGAATTATTTGGCTGGTAACTTATCAATTAAATAAAAAAAGAAAGATTAACAAACACAATAAGAAAATAATATTTTAATAAGATTAAGTTAGGATAGAGAGTTTGATACAATATGTACTAAAAAATGACTAGTTAAAATAGCAAAATAGCTTTAATTTGACTAAAAATTTGAAAAAATTGGCGCGAATATTCTAACCAGCCTAAAATAATCGAGAAACTAAGAGGTTGTTTGAGATAATCTATAAAAGTGTATTTTTTGATTAAAAAAAGTAGGGAAAAAAATGAGTATTTAAGATAATTTTTTGACTTTTTATAAAAAAATATATGTTATAATATGATAATAAATTTTGAAATTACTGTGTTGCCCCTATGGAGTTATGCATACTGACAGAGTCACGTGATGGCCAGTAGTACGGCTTTGTGGTTTAGGGGATGGTAGAACAGCTTGACCTATGTACAAAGCTTCATATATTATTTATTTATTTATTTTTACATATTTTTTGTTCAAAGGATATTTTGGTCTTTTTTGCCTTTGACTAGCGTTGTTGTTTTCCGTAAAAAAAAAAAAAAAAAAAAAAAAAAAATTTGTAAATAGTATAAATTTTTTGACATTTGTAATGATTTTTGACCTTTTTACTTTTTTTTAAATTAGCCAAAACACCTGTTAAAACTAACGATTGAGATAAACTCAAATTAAAGAATCGTATCATTGCTCTTTCTATTATTGAAAAGAAAAAATATTTGGATATGTTTGGTTTGTGTTTGAGAGATGTGTTTTAGAGATAAAAAGTACAAAAAGTTATTTAGTTTGGTTTTTTTCAAAAGATATTTTGGAAAATTATTTTGAGAGAGAGTTTTGGAAAAAGTGATTGATTTGATGTGTGTGAGAGAGAGATTTGTTTGGAAAACTTGTTTGGGTTACAAGTTTTCAGAAATTTTTTTGGGAAAATTTGTTTGATTTAATTACTTTTAAAAACTTATTTGTAAAGAAAATTTCCCAAAATTTTTTCAGAAACACAAACCAAACGAACCCTTTATCTTCTTAACAGTGACCCACGCAGCGCTCCGTACCACCCAATCGCATTAAAGGCAAATCCATAAAAGGCAACCAACAAGCCATGCCCTTTCTCTCTCCTCCACCACAACCACCACTCTCCGGTCACTTCCACCACCGTCCACGGCGTCTAGGGTTTCCAAACAACAAACACACATGTACAGACTATAAACATATATGATTTTGTGAATTGTTTATATGATTAATTGAAGAAGATGCCTTTGATTCGACGATCAAGAAAGGCATCTGAGAATGACAACAATCAGACTCCGATTCCGGACGAAGAAGACGATAAGAGCAAGAAAGTAGCCGCGAAGAAGGCTAGGGTTGATGAGAAGAGTAGCAAATGGTCTTGTCTGGACAGCTGTTGTTGGTTGATTGGTTGTATTTGTACTGTTTGGTGGATTCTGCTGTTTCTGTACAATGCGATGCCGGCGTCGTTTCCTCAGTACGTGACGGAGGCGATCACGGGGCCGTTGCCGGACCCTCCCGGGGTGAAATTGGAAAAAGAGGGGCTCAAGGTGAAGCATCCGGTGGTGTTTGTGCCCGGAATTGTCACGGCGGGGCTCGAGCTGTGGGAGGGGCATCAGTGTGCGGAAGGGTTGTTTCGGAAGCGGCTCTGGGGAGGCACATTTGGGGAGGTGTATAAGAGGTATTGTTAATTTTGAGTTTGTTCTGGTGACATCCGTCCAAATTGACCGAACTCGATTGATTTTGGCTAGCACTGCAAATGAACTGAACTGTTTATGAACAAGCTCGGCTCGTTAAGGGCTCGGCTCGTTTAGCAAACGAGCTGAGCTCGAGCTCGAATATTAGGCTCGTTTACTAAACGAGCGGAGCTCGAGCTCACATAAGCTCGGTTCGTTTATCTTTATTTAAACAATATAATAAATATATTATTTATATATTAAATAATATATAAATATATATATTTAAATAATATAAATAATATTAAAAAAAATTTATTGAGTTGTAGGAACCCTCGTACGGGGTCTGATTTGGTGTCTACAGTTGTTGCAGATCGACTGCGTGATAAGCCATTGACGCGCCCCACTGATGTCGTGTTTGATTTGAAGAACGATTATGGTTTGGATATTAGCTACCGGGTGGCCTGGTTGGGTGTTGAGAAAGCTAGGGGCGAGGTGTACGGGGATCACGCTACGTCCTTTGATCAGCTGAGGTGGTATAGCAATTCTGTTATGCAAAAAAACCCAAATAGTTACATTAATCTTGAGTTTGACCCAAAAACCGGGAGCTTTGTTAGGTATTTCATATCATTTCGCGCTTGTATAGATGGGTTCAAACACTGCCGGCCTATGCTTTTTTTGGATGGAACGTTTTTGAAAGGTAGATTTAAAGGTAATTTGCTCGCAGCTACTGCTAAAGACGCCAATCAAGGTAATGGTGTGTTACTTTACCTATTACTGCTTATTTGCTGAACATACTAGTAAATAGATACTTCAAATTTTTATACATTTCAAATGTTTCTTTCCCATTCAACAACGGAAAAAAAAATTGAGAACATTGAAATAGGGTCTCCTCAAATAAAACTGAATAGGAATGTAACACACAGTGGCAGGCTTATTCGTTTTAAAATTTTTTAAAATGTGTCGCACTTTTTTATTCGTGGATGGTTGTATAAGTTTTGTCATGCCTAACTTTTTATGTTGCATGTTTGGTCTTAGGATTGTTTCCGGTAGCCTTTGCTATTGTTGATTCCGAGAATTCAGCTAATTGGGAATGGTTCCTTCATAATTTGAAAGAAGTTGTTGGGGGTGGGCGAACATTGACTTTCATATCTGACCGCCATGTCGGATTATTACACTCTATGCCCATTATTTTCCCTTCAGCCCATCATGCATATTGTTTGTTGCATCTGCAAATGAACTTGCGGGATCGAATGAAATATGTTAATGCATCGCACAAAATTGGGTTGATGCGCAAGTTACGGGAATGTGCCTACGCGCCCACTGTTACTTGCTTTAATGAGAAATTTGAGGTATTGAAGAAGTCCAACCCAGCTATGATTGAAGATTTTATGAAAGACTTGCACCCAAAACACTGGTCTAATGCGCATTTCAGGTACTTCACGATCCGCTTAATGGGTTATGGCGTATTTTTAATTCCAGCATGTTTTTTCGTAGTATGTTTTATTTTTTCGTTATAATTTATGCTCTTTGTAAACGTTGATTTTGGTTATTTTTTAGAGGCCGACAGTACGGGGAGATGTGCTCAAACGCTGCTGAATCTTTCAACAATTGGGTCGGCGAGGCCCGTCATCTTCCTATTACTAGATTGGTTGATATGATAAGGGGTCAAATAATGGAGCAAATGTTGGACTGCAGAGTTAAATGCACTAAATGGGCCGGTGTAATATGCCCTAAAATGGAGAAAAAATTGGTGGCAGCGTATAACGACAGCAGGGCTTGGTGTGTTAGCCAGGCTAATGATGATGTCTATGAGGTCCACTCCCACCCATCGGTGTTGGTTGATGTCGGCAAGCTGACATGTTCTTGTTTTCAGTGGCAGATCAACGGGTTCCCATGTTCCCATGCTGTTGTTGCATTCCGTAATAGTGGGAGAAACATCTACGATGCCATAGACTCTGCATTTTTCATTGATACATTTCGAGCTACTTATAGCGGAACCATATACCCCATCCCAACAGTGGGGAGGCCACTGTTTAACCCAGCTGAATGTTTGATAGCTCCGCCGACGGCCAAGCGTCCTCCCGGTCGGCCAAAACGGAAGAGAATTCCATCCAAGGGGGAGGTAGTGCAACGTATACGTTGTGGTCGTTGCGGAAAAGTGGGTAATCACAATAGGAAGACATGCAAAGAGCCATTACAGGTGGGCTGTCATATGATTTAATTTGGTTGTTAACAAACTGGGATTCTGGGTTTTTGTTTTCCGAAATGTTTTCCTGTTTTTTTTCCAATCAGTCATTCACTTTCTGTTATTGGTTTAATCTATTTTGTAGGATATACATTGGTATGTAATCCAGCAACAATTTCAGTTCCCATTGTTAAATAATTACACTCCACATTTAACACCCAACCATTTTAGTTTGAAATCTGTTTTGCTTAACAATGTGAAGGCATGAAAATAGCCAATGGGTTTTATTTTTCAAATCTGTTTTGAATCACGGTGTCTACACATGAGAAGAGTCAATGGGTGCCGGTTTTTGTTTGAAATCTGTGGACATGATAACAGATTTGGAAACCAGTCATCCACTTTACGTTATTGGTTTAATTTGTTTATTAGGACATTCATTTTTGGTCCCCACTATTGAACACTAACACTGCTCCTTTGAAACACAACCATTTAACTTTCAAATCTGGCTTTGATTAACACTGTCAAGACATGAAAAGGGGAATTGGTGCCGTTTTAGTTTACAAATTTGTTCACATCATACCATAACATTCGCTCAAAGCGGACTCTAACAACCTGCAGCTGGAATGGCAATGGATTTTTAATGTTTGGGTGGCTGCTTACAATCCATTGTCATTGCACAAAACATGTACCCATTACCAACTGCGTTAAATTAAATTCAACACGAAGGTAATTTTATGTTATGCTCAACATGGTATCATCGCAATTCTGATTAAGATGCAAATGCGAAATTAATCTTTTCGCATGTCATATTTAGCATGTGGTCGACGTACTCAGTCTTTGCATGTTCACTTCCATGTACATGAAGCCACACATACTGCCGTGGTGGAAAACAGGTTTACAAAACAGAGTGTCGTCATGCCCAACTCCTGCATAGATCACACCATGTTTACATACCAAGGCCCATCTGCCATTTAAAAACAATCTACTTCACATGACATAAAAGTGTAATGCACTGTGAAACTGTTATCATGCAATAGGTGAGACTATTTGAATAGCTTACTAAATAATATCAACATTCATATCCACAAAGTACTGGATTCTAACCCAAGATTAAACCGTGGGGCACTTCTGCATTACCAAAAAAGTACTGTATAGGAAACTAGTTTTTCCCTCCTACTGTTATGTGTTTCCAAACTAACAAAAAATTATATACGTCGATACGAGAAGACATACTAAAACATCCTAATGCTGTTGTTGCACCTTGCGCGCTTGGAAATGTCTTCACAACCTCTTATAATGTCCTCCCACGGAGTCCTCTGCCCGGGTCACTTAAGAACATTTCCACCATTGCAGCTCGTAGCCCAGTTGGGGTCAGGCCGTCCATCAAAGTATTCACTTCTGCACCACGTACGTACTGCCTGATTATGAAGCACACGAAAATCCCACAATCTGACTTGCACTCACAAACACCGGTGTCAACGTCACTGACGTGATACATCATCAACATAGTCTGCTCAAAATAAAATGAACATTACTTACGACTCTGGAACTTGTTGTGGACAATCCAGAACAGATACAAAACTGCCATCAAACAGCTCTGACCCAACAGCTGCAGCTGTAACTCGAGGCTTCACAAATTTGTTGTGGTGATCAGCCACCCATTGTTTCTGTCCATTTTCCACATGTCAGTGCAGTTTTGCCCACAGTAACATTAACATTTTCTACATTAAATTCTGCCCATCATGCACATTCAAAACTGAAATTTTAAAACAGCACTTACAACTTTTAGAGCCACATTGTAGTGCTCATCGCGCACTCCACGTCTTGGCCGCATCGAGTTGTAATGTTTCCAATTCCCACTTTCTACATCGCACGCCATGACTGTCCAATGGTTGGCATTGTAGATTGGGATAACTGTGTATCTGCAACCTCGTGCAGCCTTCATGTGAACATTCAAATACTTCGCTCGGGAAACAGCACTGCTGTTTCGCATCATATCCTGCACAATTGTCGAAAACCACCGTATTCGTATCAGGTTTTATTATGCAAATATTTTTTTTAGATTTCGGGCAGTAAAATAAAACTGAAGATACATACTGAACAAACACTAGTGTAAATGTACGATGTCCCAACATATTCTGCCCTTCCAGATACCATCTTATGCATTTCAGTCAACATTGCACCGTACGCATCGATTACCTGCAACATATGTTACCCATTACAATTCCAGCATAATAGCAATAAGAACTTTGTAAATTTACATTTCCATTTACATTTTGTTCACTGTGTTTTAAAATTCATTTGCCCTTTCCGACTGCCACATCACTCAATTCACAAAGGAAGCAATGGTCAGATTTGCATATGTTTTTTTAAAATAATTAAAGAATCAATAAATACTCTACGATTCGTTACACGAAACCAGCTTACATTGCCGTGTATGGAGTTCTGCTGCACCAAATCTTTGATGTCCGTAAAATGAACTTGTATTCCATTGTGTCCACCATCCCATACTATTAACCTGCAAACCATAAATCGAAATTAAGAACCACCGTGGAGGATAGTTTCGCAAGTTGTACATGTCAAACAATACAACAGTCCATCCGAACAACCTACCCGTCCCCCTCTAAAGTGTACATTCTTTGTAGTAGTTCTCGGTCTTCATCCTTCAGCATGTTCCACACAGTGTGCCGCCTATTCAGACCGAAGCCATTCCAGGTTTTACGCTCCACCTCGACGTCCTCAACACTGTAAATCACCCCTGGTTCAACTGATTTACCAAGTCTGACATTGGTGTTTACCTGTGTACGCCCGAATATGCCGGGATATTCGTAATCTGATAACCTAAATTCCCGTCTTGCCTTGTTCTTCACCCTTTTCACAAGTGACGTAATTTTCGGCCCAGAACTTGTTGCACCTGCTGGGTGTTCGCAATGACCTTCTACAACAACGACAGCTGCGCCATCTTTTACATTGCCAGCAGCTACTGTCTGTGCATTTATGGGGCTGCAGCTACCCTCACCCATTGCTACAGTTGTATGCAAAATCCCATCTGCAAAGTCATCGGTCAAATCTTCAATCCCAGGGTCATTGTCAACAAGTTGTAATTCGTTGATCCGCACGTCTTCGGGTTGCCCTGTAGGACATGCAAACTGCTGCGCACTTTCGCAACTCGTCACATTGGCAGACCCACTCACTTTCCCTGACACACTATTACTTGGTGTTCGCTGATTGGATCCATCATTCACAGCAAATTGTGTCACCTCGTGCACCTCGAGGTCATCAAGACTATCTTCCAAATTGCTTACTTTTTTGTCCAATCGATCAACCTGCTTGGTGAGCCGTGCAATTTCTGCATCCTTATCCACAATCACAGTATTTAAGTTTGCAAACAAATTACCAGCATGCCGCCCGAGCAGTTTTTCCAGTGTTTCCACACGCTGTTCCAGTTCACATATCTGTACGTCTTTCATATTGATCTGGCTCTCTAATTCAGTAATTCTGACTTTACAAGTTATCAGCTCATTGTGCACCCCTCTTTGTTCCTCACCCACGTCTTCACCATCTGGAGTGCTGGCCAGTTCCAGAAGATCTGGGAACAATACCGGCAAAACATCTCCACGTGACACCAGCTTCCCAGCTACTTTTTCCTTGCTGGTTGGTGTTCCAGTATTTTTATTATCATAGTCATTGCCCCCCTCAATTTGCATGTCACCCTTGGTTTTTTTGGCCGGCTGCCAACAATTGAAGCTTGGCTCCACGCTGCCAACATCATCTGTCTCAATCACAGCCCTGCGTTCATCGCACACTCCAGGTGGTTCCACATCCATCCTAATTCTACCACATTCTTTTGTTTCAATAGCAGCAGCAGGCACCTTCAGAATATGACATTCATTAATCGTCCCAACAAGTTTGGCACAGTGGACCTAAGCAAAATTACCATCAAAACGTAGCACAATTTCAATGTTTGGTGTTGGAAAATTTTTAAAAACAATTAAAAGGGTTCTAATTCCATACCTCAAAGCAACCTTCTGACGACAAATTTATTGCTCTTAGTTTACCCACAGCGGATGCAATGTTCCATCGACAAAATCGTGGTGTCACGTCAGGCCGTTCCGGAGCGATGATGTTGGAATGCTCACAAATAAGAAACTGAAATTACACCATGAAACATCCATTACATAAACACTGAAATGGATTATATGTTTTAAAGCTGAATTTGAACCACCAAACAACCAACAAACATACGTACCAGCAATGCTACTACGCAACCAGTGACCTTCTCTGGCTTATTGTGCATCTCATTCAGTGACCCAATCAATGTGTTCCTTATTGTTGCACTCCAGTCATACTGTTGCAATGTGTCCAGTTTGTCGATCACACTGACAAATGCCCAACCTATATGCTCGCCGGTCGTTGCGAAAAATAACTTGGCGCACACATAAACACACAGCAATTTCGCCACATCTTCTTCGTCACGCTCTGTACGACCACATATTGCTTCTCCCAGCAAGTCCTTTATTAATTTTGAAGAAATTCGGCTAACTTTTGCGCAACGTCTTTGGATGAAATCAGACGGCCCTTTCCCACCATGTGTCATATCCAATTTCTCCCTCCCACATTGTACGCCGAAGATCAACCTGATGTCGTTGTTGCGCAATGGTAACTTAGCTCCACCGATGTTGAATTTCTCATCTTCAGGGTTGTAAGTTTGTATTACCCGACATACTGTCGCATCACATTTTTTGAACATTTTAGGATCCAAGTCGTTTAGCCCGAATAGCATCAATCATTAGCCAGAATGGCGTTCTCTGCAACTGTCTGATGTGGCCATCACGTAATTCCAGTTCCAGAACTGTGCTAATCAGCCCGGATATGTTTGACCGGTACATTAATTTCGACGGATCAACATAACCTCTTCGAACAGGATCACCCGGCCCTTTCTGTTTCTTGAATGGGAGCTTCGCTTGTCTTTTACTGGCTTGCCTTGTCGATGTTTGTGGTGACCTTAACCCAAGTTTCCGTTTACCAGTCCTGCTGCCACTGCTACCTGAACATGTTTTACATGCAAAGCAGTAGAAACAAATTAAAACTGCCAATAACCATGCAAAAAATGAATCATTTACACCGCCACATTTTCCAGCATCAGGCAATTTACCAGAAGAACACAAACTTTTATGCCCCATGTCATGCCATCAATGTAAAATTGGAACACAAACATTAACATCAGACAGCCAAACTCTGGTTTTTATCTCATCACGCACTAGGCAACGAGTTCGTATTGCATGCATCACTATGAAGTACTAACCACTATCACTTCCCAACTAACTAATTTTATTGTTTTGTACTACATTTTGTACAAATCCAACGAACTGTAATTACGCATTTCAACAATAACATCCAACCATTAAAGTGACGCTACATAGATTACGTCAACGCATCAAACAACAATACAAATGTGTCACCACTTCAGTATGACTTTCACATTGTCAAACACGCTACATAACATGATTACGACTAAGCATTGGACAACAAAACGTAAACAAAAAAAATTGGGGCCCAAACTGAAATTTGCAAATACATCACTGACATGAATCTTGCACAACATTACAATTTTCTTCAATGTAAAATGACCAAAAACACAGTATGCACACCCCCACAGGTACATGATTGTATACACCACCAAACCATCTTCCCCTCAATCCCCCTCAGGTACATGAACAGGTAAACCATCTTCCCCTCAACCCCCCTTCCCCCCCCCCAAATATTCAGGGAAACCCAGTACGCACTTGATAATAAAATTGCATTACCATCTCATTCACATTCACCGCAGTAACATTACGACAAAATCACAAAAAAACACACCAGTTAACAGGCCAAGAACATTGACAACCTACTTTCCGAGAAGACGCATGCATTACTCAAAATCGCACCCAAAAAACAACACTACATCAGTGTACATATTTCACAATTTCATGTATTTTACAAATCCCACAACATTAACCAGTTCCCTTAGTATATCACCCATAACTCCACAACCTCGTAATGTAAATGAAAGCAAGGGTTTATGTACAGAGACGATTACCGTACCTGGAACCATTGTCGGAGGCCTACGAAGACTTTCCGCTCGCTACTTCGAATCACAACACCGTCACAAGCACCTACACCGCCGGAGTTGATGTATCAACAGCGTAGGGGCTTCCGTATTTGCTAGGGATTGCGGTAAATCAAAAAATGCTATTCTATTGACAGGAATTTCACATCGTCAAGCAACAATCTCAAACTCCCACGCCTAACATCCCGCCATTAACATCAGAGAACTGTTCAAGCTTCCACACACGACTCTTCGATTACGGGTTTGTTTGGAGGGAAACAAATTTCTACAGAGGACAGGTTTGAGGCACTATAGTCATTACGCCGTTGGTGGTTTACTTCATTACCCTTACTAGAACGCCTAAAAAATAGTGTAACACGGGTTTAGTTGTCAATAACATTATGTTAGGACTAATTGGATCATAAGATAAAAGGTAGGACTAAATGGAACATAAGATAAAGATTTCAGATTTATTGGTGCGTGGCCCTAAATTTTTTTACATTTATAATGATTTTTGACCTTTTGTACTTTTTTTTAAATTAGCCAAAACACCTGTTAAAACTAACGATTGAGATAAACTCAAATTAAAGAATCGTATCATTGCTCTTTCTATTATTGAAAAGAAAAAATATTTATCTTCTTAACAGTGACCCACGCAGCGCTCCGTACCACCCAATCGCATTAAAGGCAAATCCATAAAAGGCAACCAACAAGCCATGCCCTTTCTCTCTCCTCCACCACAACCACCACTCTCCGGTCACTTCCACCACCGTCCACGGCGTCTAGGGTTTCCAAACAACAAACACACAGGTACAGACTATAAACATATATGATTTTGTGAATTGTTTATATGATTAATTGAAGAAGATGCCTTTGATTCGACGATCAAGAAAGGCATCTGAGAATGACAACAATCAGACTCCGATTCCGGACGAAGAAGACGATAAGAGCAAGAAAGTAGCCGCGAAGAAGGCTAGGGTTGATGAGAAGAGTAGCAAATGGTCTTGTCTGGACAGCTGTTGTTGGTTGATTGGTTGTATTTGTACTGTTTGGTGGATTCTGCTGTTTCTGTACAATGCGATGCCGGCGTCGTTTCCTCAGTACGTGACGGAGGCGATCACGGGGCCGTTGCCGGACCCTCCCGGGGTGAAATTGGAAAAAGAGGGGCTCAAGGTGAAGCATCCGGTGGTGTTTGTGCCCGGAATTGTCACGGCGGGGCTCGAGCTGTGGGAGGGGCATCAGTGTGCGGAAGGGTTGTTTCGGAAGCGGCTCTGGGGAGGCACATTTGGGGAGGTGTATAAGAGGTATTGTTAATTTTGAGTTTGTTCTGGTGACATCCGTCCAAATTGACCGAACTCGATTGATTTTGGCTAGCACTGCAAATGAACTGAACTGTTTATGAACAAGCTCGGCTCGTTAAGGGCTCGGCTCGTTTAGCAAACGAGCTGAGCTCGAGCTCGAATATTAGGCTCGTTTACTAAACGAGCGGAGCTCGAGCTCACATAAGCTCGGTTCGTTAAGCTCGGCTCGTTTATCTTTATTTAAACAATATAATAAATATATTATTTATATATTAAATAATATATAAATATATACAAATAATGGCATAAACACATTATGTATGTATTAAATAATATAAAAAAATAAAAATCTTATCAAACTGAACTCGAACTCAGTAAACGAGATCGATAATCAAACAAGTCGAACTCAAACTCAGTAAAGAAAAAAAGGTGTCAATAGAGATATGCCTTTATTTCTCTAATGAGACAGAAAGAGAGATTTATATATTTTTATAAAAATAGAAAACAATATTACAGGTAAATGATACATATTTTTTTTCATATTACTAGTTATTCGAGATTGTAAAAGTTATAAATTATAATTAAAAGAATGCCCAAATTTGTGAAATTCAAACTACTAAATCGATTGCATCCATCTACCAATCAATCTGCACGGCCTGCTCAATTCATATCTGCCAAACCGATAAATGGATGTGGATTATTTTTTTCAATCCGCCTAATTTTAGATGGATGACAAATGAAATGTCACCTGACCCAACCTGATTTGCGATCACCCTAGTTTGTTGTGATGTGTGTTGGATAAATTTCATGGCCTGTTAGATGTTATTTTTTAGAATTAGTTATTTTAGTTAACTATTTAACTTTTTACAAAAAAAAAAAAGAAAAGAAAAAAGATTTGCATTGGTACTTTTTTTTCAGCGATTAGTGTTTGGAAGGTTAATTTTATTTTTTAATGGTAATTGGTTTTTTTTGGGGGGTGGAATGAAAGTAAAGAAATTGTTAGACATGATTTTTTTAATTTTTTATTAAAAATAAAAAAAAGTAAAGAGAATGAAAGAATTCTTTTTAAAAAAAAAAAAATATTTTATACGACTTTTTCCTTTCTTTATAGTGATTTTTTTGGCTTTTGGCTTAACCATCACCTTCCCAAATGACCCCTTGCTTTTGAGAAGTAAGTTTCGTTTGGCATAAAGTTTTTTTGGCTATTTTAGTCGCAAAAAGACAAAATAGGTTAAAAAGTCAATAAGATAAAATGTTAAATTCAAACTATAATTATTTTATTTTTTCTTTCACAAAAGTCAAAAAAGCAAAAAAATCCATCCCAAAGAAGGCTTTTTAGCTCCAAGCTAAAATATCCAAAAATTAAAAAGCCGACCTACATCTCAAACAAAGGCTTAATCTGTTGGATAATCATCTTTTATAATATTGTGTGGGTGATTGATTATTGAATCTGGTGCTGACTTTTCTTTTTCTTATATGAGAGTAGGTATGGGAGAGGTTGAATATGAAATTTATTTTATTTTTAGTTTTATTATTTTTGAATAAATTACAAATACAACCCATGAGGTTTATCTAAAATACAAATTCTCCTATTGGTCTGAGAAATTACAAATATACCTTTCTCAGTTAATTAGTTACGCTTCACATGAACCGTATAAAAATTATTGTTGGTCTTTATCCTAACTCTTAATTAGTCTTGCATTTGAAAGAAGTCAATCACTCCGTTTGGTTTGGAGTCTATGAAGTACAGACACAAAACATGGCAATTTCCAAAAAATTGGGACACGGACACGGCGGAGGACGTGGCGAATTTTGTTTTTATTATATATTTTTATATGTCATGTAGATTCATATTACATTCATCCTAAATCAAAATTAACAAATACTAACATAGTAATATTAATTCAAGTTTCAAGTAGATCCAATTTCTTGCACGTCTTCATCATCATTAGCATCACCATATTTTTCTTCGTTTGCACCTCGATCATCTGTAAACAACACAACCTCCATCTCAGGTTCATCAAGTGAGAGATTTGCAACCTCAAGCATTCCAACATCATCAAATGGCCTTTCATCAAGTTGGAAATAAAATACTTGTCATTTGTTTCCCCTGAACATTCAACCGCTTTAACAAACATAGGCCCACCTCCGGTAACAGCCATAAAATTTATTAATGGCTTTTGTTGGGAATCACTCCATCCATCACTGGCTATACTCACACCCTTCTCTCTCTATGTGCCTCGAATAGGGTCTAACAACCTATCAAGGTCTATCATTTCTTTTTGAAGCAATGTAGTTCTCAACATGTTATACCAATGCGGTACATATCCTTGTATGTTGTTATATGCAGCAAAAGTAAATACACTAACACGGTAAGGATTTTTTGCCAAATGAAATGGCAAGTCTGCTGAATAAAACATTCCAGCTATTTTACCATTTAATCGTTCTCGAGCCCTAATGTTAAATGCTTTCGTAACAGGGTCACTACTTCCACTCCCTATAGTAGTTGACCTCTTCCTTTTTTATCCATAGATCTCCTCTGGGTCATTTAAACATAAACCTAATGATGCACTTGAACGAGAAGGAGGCAATGGGACTTTATTCAACCTAGAGTTCTTCAATTTTTCAATTTCAACTCTACTGCTCCAATTACTCTCTCAAATTCAGCTTTATCCTTACTTGTTACTTTTGGACACACTTCTATCCCTTGATTTTTTATTTGCATCAAATGGGCTTTTACCCTAGTGTATGAACCTTTACATATAGCCTGACAAAAGTTACATTGAAAAGTATTGTTCCCCCTCTCTTGCACCAGATTTTTCTAATCTAGTCACATATTTCCGCAGTGACTTATCATCTTCAGCATCAAAGGCAGATAGTGTGTTATTGGCAGAATTTGAACTAGACATTTTCTTATAAATTATAACCATTATAAATTAACAATCTAGGTATGAACCTTTACATATAGCCTGACAAAAGTTACATTGAAAAGTATTGTTCCCCCCCTCTTGCACCAGATTTTTCTAATCTAGTCACATATTTTCGCAGTGACTTATCATCTTCAGCATCAAAGGCAGATAGTGTGTTATTGGCAGAATTTGAACTAGACATTTTCTTATAAATTATAACCATTATAAATTAACAATCTAGTCACATATTTCCGCAGTGACTTATCATCTTCAGCATCAAAGGCAGATAGTGTGTTATTGGCAGAATTTGAACTAGACATTTTCTTATAAATTATAACCATTATAAATTAACAATCTAGTCACATATTTCCGCAGTGACTTATCATCTTCAGGAATACGAGAGAGAGAGAGAGAGAGAGAGAGAGAGAGAGAGAGGCTTACCTACAAAGTTGTCTGGATGGAGATCGACTGATGGGGATCTTCAGCGGTCTTCGATCGACTTGATGGGGATCGGGGGTCTTCGATTGATTGGATGGAGGTGGTGGATCGACTGGTTTAAGTCGGCGATAGGTTCTCCTTTTCACTCTATTCCTTCACTCTCTATCGTTTGTTACGATTAGGGCAAGGAACGATTTCTGTGTTGATCTTTTACATCTTTTTTTTTAAAATATTTTATTTATTTTATTTTTACTTTTTAAATATTACAATTTGACTCCAAATAAATATAACAAAATTAAAAATGAGTCTCGCCGTGTCTCATGCCGTGTGTCGATATGGACACGCGTGTCCCCGTTGTATCCCTTACAAAAAATTCATTAAATTAAAGGGACATGCCATCTGGTGTGTCCCGGTGTCCCCCGCGTATCCGCGTGTTGCACACCGTCACGACACTGATTTTGGAGTGTTCATGCTTCATTTGGAGTTTTCAGAAATAATTTTCTGAGTTTTTAATTCGTATTTTTATATTTTTAGTATTTTTTAAAATATTTTAATCAATTTTTTTATTTTACTTTTTAGATCAATTTAATTTAGATATACTTAAAAAGTATAAAATTTGTACAAAAAACTTAAAAAATTCATTGAATATAGCAAAATATGAAAATGTATTAAATTTTTGTATTTTTTTGGTATCTATTTTATTTATTGAATTTTTTTTCACTATTATTATACCTTTTCAGTATATCTAGATTATGTGTATTTAAAAAATAAAAAATTGCATAAAATATTAAAAAAATTCAATAAAAATAAAAAAACTTGAAAAACAAAAAACTTAATTTTTTGACAAGTGAGTTAAACCAAACAAAAATGCTAAAGACCCTAAAAGTTTTACCAAATTTTCTACTAAATGTCTCACATGGAAAACTTTAAGATGTATAAAGTTTCATATTTGATTTGTAGTCGGATCGATAGAGACTTTATCTCGGGTTTGTTGATTTACGTTTTGGAATCTTTTATATAATTGACTAAAGCTATGAGATAGTGAGGTTATCCAGATCTGGCAATCATCTGGCATTGTATTTGAGACTCCTTAACCCTGCCAATACCAAACCTCTAGGCCCGATACTTTATTAATAACCGTTGGGTGGGGGCAACTTAGCTTACCAGGAAAGGGCGATTTCAATCCTTTAAACCAAACCCACGACCTGGGGCAAGAGCTGCACATGTGAGATATTTGGTAGAAAATTTAGTAAAACTTTTGGGATCTCTAGTATTACTCCTCTGATAATTAGTTTGAAGTATGTGAACACTTCTTTTTAGGTGATCATTAGCTTGACTGGGAGTTGTTGACATGACATGTAGAGTTTGGGGAGCTACTAAGCCTTGTACCCAATGCACTTTAGAGTGAAATTTTTTTGGTTATGCCCTTCAAGCATTGATTAAGGACGTGAGCTTGGTCCTAAATCCCATCTGCTTGCTTTTAAAAATTCTACTTATCATTTTATACTTGGAATTACTACAAATATTGATGCGTTATTTGTTTGATATCTTTTTGGAGGATGCTGAACATTTATCCTTTTGGTCTTTTTTTGGGGGTCCATAGTGTTAACTTACAAAAATTGGCAAATTGTTGTGGATACTTAGCAAGCATTGTTCGTCTGATCTTTTGCAGGCCTTTATGCTGGGTGGAACATATGTCACTGGACAATGAAACTGGGCTGGACCCTCCTGGTATAAGGGTCAGGCCAGTTGCTGGACTTGTAGCTGCTGATTACTTTGCTCCAGGGTATTTTGTTTGGGCAGTTCTGATTGCTAATTTGGCTCAAATTGGGTATGAGGAGAAAACCATGTATATGGCTTCATATGATTGGAGACTTTCATTTCATAACACTGAGGTATTTTTTTGACTTTCATAATCATGTGGGATCTTATTTAAACTTCCCCTCTTCTTACACTGTTATTCAATGGATTACTTACATTGGCTTTTAGTTTAATGCTGAACCCAATTGATTAGGTGCGGGACCAAGCCCTAAGCCGGATAAAAAGTAATATAGAACTGATGGTTGCTATAAATGGTGGCAATAAGGCTGTCATTATCCCACATTCAATGGGTGTTTTGTACTTTCTGCATTTTATGAAGTGGGTGGAAGCGCCAGCTCCCATGGGCGGTGGGGGTGGACCAGGTTGGTGTGCTAAGCATATAAAGGCGGTAATGAACATTGCTGGACCATTTTTAGGTGTTCCCAAAGCTGTTGCGGGGCTGTTCTCTGCCGAAGCTAGGGATATTGCAGTTGCCAGGTATTTATCCACTTTTTTTTTTTTGTCCCCTGTTAACAACCCAAAAAAGAAGAGAAAAAAACTAACTATACACTTCTGGACTTTGTTTAGTTTTGACAGAGCAATCATCTTTCCACTATGGGTGGGAAATATTTTAACATGATAATTTGTGAGCTTGGATATCCTCCTGTTGACCTATTGTGAGATGTCGACACACATTGTCAAAATTTGTGTTTTGGGAGTGCAACCTATCAAGTATCAACCCACCAACAACGAAAGATAAAGCATACCATGTAGTAACAAAAGCTTAATTTAGGTTCTTAAAATGTTTTCTTTTCCAAAACCTAAAGCCAATTAGTAGTGGGGGAAAAGTGTTCAACTACCCTGTGCACCAATTCTACAGACTAAATTATATTTTCGTCAATGTTGTTTCTTTTCTTTAGTTGTCCTAACTTTGTTTGCATCCATCTTCTAGTCTGGTACCATATTTGTAGGAGCATGTTTTATGTTTTGGCAAACCTATTTTATTACATATTTAGTAAAGGTTTTAGAATGCATTTGCTCCTCTGGATATACTCAATATTGATAATATACTTAAAAAACTCAACGTTGATAATCCGTTACTGAAGCTTGTTGCATTTTTAAGATATGTGCTTGTCTTGCATTTGTTGAATTCTAAAAAAATCTCACCTAAAATGCAGAGCCATTGCACCAGGTTTCTTGGATAATGATTTGTTTCGTCTTCAGACATTGCAACATGTAATGAAGATGAGCCGTACATGGGATTCAACCATGTCAATGATACCAAAAGGTGGGGACACTGTTTGGGGTAGTCTTGACTGGTCACCTGAAGAAGGATACGTCCCTGGCAAGATAAAACAAAGAAACAGCGATACTCTGGTTTCAGGTCAAAATGAAACAGGCAGTATGGTTTCTCAAGTGAAATCTGCTAATTATGGCAGAATTTTATCATTCGGTAAAGATATAGCAGAGGCACCATCATCTGAGATTAAGAGGATTGACTTTAGGGTAAATTTTCTGGTTTTCTAAATGACTAATTATTCCATTAGAAACTAGTGGCTCTTTGTAAATTTGTTTTAAATTTTCCGATAAGTAAGCAGCAAACTAAGATCATTCTTCAATGATATGGAATATATGGGTTTGAAATGAATATGAGCAGCAAGTAACATGTCCATTAAATTTCAAATGCAGAAAAGGCATCTTCTTGCTGGTATAATCAATCTGGGGCGTTAGGGTCTGGGTGAGGGAACCTTAGAAGAAAGATGCTCTTCTTCCAATTATTCTTTGTTCAGTTTAGAAATAAAGAACAATTTTCTGGTCCATTACCTACTAATTCTGCTTTTCATAATTTTTTTCAACAGTATCTGGGTGAAAATTATTTACTTTCTTAAGCTTTTTCTAGCCCTGGGCCTGAACAGAATCGTAGATTATAATTGAGTTGAGACCCTAATTTTCCTGTGAAGGGACAACTCTTGAAGTATACCTTGATGATTCAATTGCATCACTCAAGCCATGCTTGTAATATGGTATACAGGGATGAGGGGGTGTCACTTGATTCTTGGGTTTACGGCCCAGAGTACCCTGCTAGGACAGGGTTCCTGATTATCATTTTTTTTTAATGGCATACTGCGTAGTTTATATCAGATATGAAACACTCCTTTTATTTTTATGGCACCTCCTCCACCTTAGTGTGAATGATGAACAGTCTTGAGCTGCCCCAATCCACTTTCAATGAAGGAGAAACGCACTTGAAAAGGAGCAATGAGCTGAGTCACTTCTTTTAATAAAAAATTGGGAACAATTAAAAGTAATGGTTTTTATGCAATAAGATTGATATATTCCTTTTTATGCCCTCCATTTAAGTTTAACATTTAACTTTTCCACCCCTTTTGTGACTACAAACAAAACTGGTTCAAGTTTTCAGCTGTGTTTGCTGATATATTATATTAATTAATATCATGTTTGGCGTATAATGTTCAAAGTTCTTGCATTTTTGTGCTGACTTGTTCTTAATAATTTGCAGGATGCTGTTAAGGGTAATAATGTTGCAAATACCACCTGTCGAGATGTATGGACAGAGTACCATGACATGGGATTTGGGGGTATTAAAGCTGTTGCAGATTACAAGGTTTATACTGCTGGAGACATTGTGGATTTGCTTCACTTTGTTGCCCCAAAAATGTTGGCTCGTGGTAGCATTCATTTTTCGTATGGCTTAGCTGAGGATTTGGATGACCCGAAATACCAACATTACAAATATTGGTCAAATCCATTGGAAACCAAGTGAGTATTCTCATTCTTGTTATTTCATTCTCATAAGTTTTGGTATGTTTTTTTGTTTCCCCTTCCAGAGAATAGTGTGTGAAGTGTGAACCCTTTGTCCAAAGAAATGCTTACAGAGTGATTATTGTAATGCTTTTCAATTATAATCTATAGCTGTTAATACTAGGAAAAACTCGGTTAATGGAGAAATTGGAGGTTATATGATAATAAGATTACATTTGGTGCTTTGAGAAATTAGATTGGAGAACTTGTTATGGGATATTGAAAATAATTTTTCTTTGTTATCTGCAACACAAGATTGATACCTTGTTGATGACAAATTCTATCAGTCTCCATAATGGAGAAAATTAGTGGTTATATGATAAATTGATAATCAGACTGCGCATTTGAAGCTTTGAGAAATTAGATTGAAATACTGGTTCTGGATCTGGAGTATTTTGTCATTGCAACGTGATATTTGTACCTTGATGACTATTTTCATTGGTATTAACAAGAGGGAAATTAGTTTCATCAATTTTTTTTTTTTTGCCTGTCCAGATTACCGAATGCTCCAGACATGGAGATCTTCTCAATGTATGGAGTTGGCATCCCAACTGAAAGAGCATATGTTTACAGGCTGTCTCCTTCTGCAGAATGCTACATTCCATTTCAGATTGATACTTCGGCAGATGGTGAAGATGAAGATAGCTGTCTAAAAGGCGGAGTTTTTACTGTTGATGGAGATGAGACTGTGCCTGTTTTAAGTTCAGGCTTCATGTGCGCAAAAGGTTGGCGCGGGAAAACCAGGTTCAATCCTTCAGGAATTCAAACTTACATTAGGGAATACGATCATGCTCCTCCAGCTAATCTTCTCGAGGGCCGTGGCACCCAGAGTGGTGCTCATGTTGATATAATGGGAAATTTTGCTTTGATCGAGGATATCATAAGGGTTGCTGCTGGGGCTACAGGAGAAGATTTGGGTGGTGATCAAGTCTACTCCGACATCTTCAAATGGTCTGACTGGATCAACTTACCAGTGTAATTTCAGATGGTGAGGTGAGTACCTACTTTTTTTAATGGTCATTTGGATGTAACCTATGAAGCACAGACACCTCTTAGGTCACCTACCGGTGCCCAACACGTGTTGGATATGCTAGAAAAATTGAACACGTTGGGGACACACAAAGTCCCATTTTTTTAATTTTCTTTTCACTATAGTAGCATACCCAATGTTGATAAATTTTATGAATATAATAAATTTAAATACTTATAAAAAAAAAAAAAAAATTATGAATATATATTTATATATATATGAAATAGAATAAACGTGTAGTATTCAGAAATATGCCATATAATAACAATATAAAATTATTTGTTTTTCACATGTCCCTAGCATGTCATGTTATGCATTTTTTAAAAATGTGTGTCCGCGTGTCTATGTCGTGTCACCTGTCTGTGCTACTTAAGATATAACAACTAGTTTGTAGTTCTAATTTTTTTAGAAAGTAAATTTTGAAAACGAAGCTAAACAGATCCATTCTTTAATGCTTGATTGGACATAACAACAAAACCATTTAATTTCCATGCTTGGTCTTGAATGCCCAGTTGCATCATATGGTGGCCCATTCTTCAACCAAAATACTTCTATCACAGATGCTTGTGCATTCAAACATTTCTTTTCTTTTCTTTTTTTATGTCTTTACTTTTCATGACAACTAACTGTCCTTGTTAGGTCATGGAAGACAAGATCCAGAATGTCTGTTGCTGTTATTTTATCGTTCTTCCTTGTGGATCCTTCACTAGAACTATGTCAGCTAGAGGCTGCTGCGAGTTGTACTTTTTGTTTCCTGGTAATGAATAACTTGGTGGAGACGCTGCTCATCACTAAGGTGCCCCGAGCGAACAATTATGTTTCTGAACTTACTCATTACTTGATTGGCATGAAAGTCGATTTGGTTACTGGAATAGAAGCTGCATATTGGCTCGTCCGGTTGTCAAATTTTCCTGGAGATGGGAGCAGTCCTGGATTCCACAATTTTTTTTGAGAATAGAAAGTGTTGAAATTTATATATATTTATATTTAATCAGAAACTAATTTGTTTAGTATTTGGTATTTGGCTCAACTTTGGCATTGTCACAATAATGTAGTGTTGTTATTTGGGAATTGCAACTTGTTTGTGTATTAGTAGACTTTACAGAACTACATTTCCTGTGAGGACAACTTCTATTGGAACATGCCCAGTGCCATTGTTCTTCGATGGCATGTTAGCTCATGTTGGTCATAGTTGAAGTTGATGCATGGATGAACAATTTTTTAGTGAAAAAATGAATACTCTGATCGATAACGCTTGTGTTGTGCTTGTTGTGTGCTTGTGTTGTGCTTGTTGTGTTGTTGTTTTAGGGGTGCTCATAGACCCGATCGATCAACCAAAACTGACCGATCCAACCCAATCAATTCACTTTTAAGCCATTTCGATAGTATGTACAGATGGATACAAATAGAGATTTTTCAAATCCGCTTATGTTTGGACGGATGGCAGATGAGAAGTCACCAGACTCAGCCCAATCCGTCACCCTCCCTAACAAAATGATGCTATATTTTCATGTTTTTGTATGTTAAAAAAAAAAGACATTTTATTTAATAATAATATTAACTATTTATGAAATATAAAACTTTAGCGTTTATTTTAATTATAAAAATGAAGAATAAAAAATTTGGACTCAAATAAGGCTCAAATTAGTAAAAAATTATTTTAAATAGTTTTTTAAAAAAGCATAAAATAGTAAAAATTAAATTGTCAAATCGATTTGTATTCACCTGTTAACTTGCATAGCTCGCTCAATCTGCATCCGCTAACTAAGCGAATGGATGCGGATTAATTTTTTTCAATCTGTCTAAATTTTGATGGATAACAGATGAGAGGTTATCGGACCCAACCCAACTCACGAGCACTCCATAGGCTTGTTTTATTTTCAAACAAGAAAAAAGGTGGGAATTGTAAGACCTACTATCATATAAAACAACCTTGGGAGGGTGCTTTGCGCACAACACCATGTTGCGAGTATGTGGAGGTGTTTTCTAAATCTGTTGGAATGATTCAAATTGTTTATATTATAGGGTTCGTTAAATAGATCATTCATGAAAGAAATTAAATTAATTAAACATCTATAACTCATAAAAAATAAACGATTAACGTAATTTTAAAACATAAATGTAGTATTGTTACGCTAACATAAATGTAGTTCGATCATGGGACTATACATATCCGATTAACCTCATTTTTTATATGAATAATATACTAGACGAACCCTATAATATGAGAACGGTTCAGATCATCAAAATAAAATCGAAACGAACCTCACCATATAAAAATCATATTTAATTTTCATATAATTTTTATTAGAATCCTAATCTTGCTAGTTTGGTAATACAGCGGTGTCACCTCATGTTGATGTTAGCTTTTTACCCTGTTGACGGAGATGTTATGTTTCTGGGTTTTCCTTGCAGCATCATTCAGTTCAATTTCCGGAGCGCGTCTTAAACCATTCTTTTCTCTTGCTAGTTTAAGTGCCTACGTCCACTCTTCAAGGGTCTTCGCGTTTGTGCTCCCATGGTATCCAACTCTAGTTCCTCGATTCTAATGCAATGCTCTTTGGTAGTTAAGTTTTTATGCCATAAGTTGTTAAGTTTTTCAGATGATCATTGATCATATTGTTTATGAAGTTGTTCATTATCTTTCTTTCAATGCCGTAATTGAATCTGTAACATATTAACTGCTATAGTCTATCATTACTTGTCGTATGGGATTTGTCATATATATTTTACTACTAGATACAGAAAGGTTTTTTGTTTTTGTTTTTTTGTTAGTTTTTATGGTTGGGTTGTTTTTACTCAATTTTGTTGCTACAGTAGTAATGCAACAGATTTCAACAAACAATGTGATTAGTTTTCCCTCTTGTCTTTCAAATTATTTAGATTTTCCACAAAGGTTTTAAGGTTGTCATGATTCATGGATGCGAGCTTGTTCTTCTTGTCTCCTATTCTTTATTTGGGATAAAAATCTGTGTTGTTTATGAAGTTGTTCATTATCGTTCTTTCAATGCCGAGCATCTCCAATGCACTAGGCATATAATACTTGTTAGTTAAAATGCCTAGTGTGATTCACTTTTTTCAATTCCAACGCACTAGGCATATGATTAGGCATTTTGGCTCAACTCATATTCACTAGCTACATGTAGCTAGCCTTCAATGCTAGGCAAAATGTATTCAATCATTAGGATCATTTCCCTCCATCTTTGTTGTTGACGTGGCATTCTATAAAATTAATAGTATTTAGATTAATAGCTAAAATAAAGAGCATGGTTGGAGTAAAAACATAAAACAGTTGATAGGCAAAATAAAATATATATTATAGTAATATTTAGATAGGTAAAATGCCTACTACCGTTGGAGATGTTCTAATTGAATCTGTAACATATTAACTGCTATAATCTATCATTACTTGTCGTATGGGATTTGTCATATATATTTTACTACTAGATATAGAAAGGTTTTTTGTTTTTGTTTTTTTGTTAGTTTTTATGGTTGGGTTGTTTTTACTCAATTTTGTTGCTACAGTAGTAATGCAACAGATTTCAACAAACAATGTGATTAGTTTTCCCTCTTGTCTTTCAAATTATTTAGATTTTCCACAAAGGTTTTAAGGTTGTCATGATTCATGGATGCGAGCTTGTTCTTCTTGTCTCCTATTCTTTATTTGGGATAAAAATCTGTGCACGAACCTATACAATGCCCGGTTCCTATAGGTAGTGGTTCAATGAGAATTTGAAATCGAGGTTTAGTTTGTAACACCACTATGTTTTATATCCAAACACCATTCTATTCATAACAAAAAAAAAAAAAAAAAAAAAAAAAAAATAGTCATAATCAAACGTCATTATGAATTATAATATAATATTACTAGATTCATAACTTATTTTACTTGACATTGAAGTGTTCTCATAATCACTTCAAGTCAAAATGGGACATAAATCAAATACCACTAAAGAAGATGTGAACTTTCTCCCTTGCTAAACATGTAATTCTGTGTTTTTTCTTTTTTTCATCAATCATTCATATATTAATTGAATTTAAATGAAACCCCATACAACTACTTTTGTCAGTGTAATAATTAATTCATTATTTTACACTTTCTTTTGTGGTTTTGTCAAGTTTAAACATCGAGTTTTTAGTTTCAGATATTTTTGTTTTTTGTTTTTGGCAATCTATTTATGTTACAGTTGTAGTTTCATCAAACAATGTGTAAGAGATAGGGAGGGTATATGAACCGCTTTCTACTACATTCTTCAGTAGTAAGGGAGGTGGTGTTCTTAGTGTTTGGCGTGGATTATTGGGTTCGGGAGTTGGTTGTTTCTTAGAGTAGAAGCTATGGGTGGGGTAACTTTTTGAAGGCGTGGTACAGATCTACTTTGGGGACAAGTTGAGCAAGCGGCCGCTTTGGGCCTCAAAAATTGTTTAGAAAAAGGTTCCAAAAAAATTTATGCCATTATGCTTGTTCCTTAAAAAAAGGCTTTTTAAAAATAAATCAAAAAGTTAATTAATGTAGCGAATTTTTTAAAACTAATAGATGATTGTTTCTCAAATGTATAAATTATATATAGAATATTATTGATTACAGTTGTTAAAATTGCTTCTGCGAAAAAAAACTTTTCAAAATTGAAATTGATTAAATTTTATATTAATTTAACTATGTAACGAGAAAAATTAAATGGATTTGTTTGACAAATTGGATAAAACAAGCTTGATTAGTAATTTTGCAACTAATGTAAAATTATCATGTTTAACTGATACATTGTTATAGTTTGTTCATTTTTTATTTAGGACGTTAGCTTGGAATATTACTTTGACCTTTAATCTCAATCTATATTTGAATGATAGTAATCTTGGGAGGGAATGAGAATGTGAATGTGATTTCGGATCTCCATAATTCCACCATCTGAGGATTCACACTTCTTATAAAAGCATCTCATGACAATCACAAACTCACTCATAACAGTTGGCTTATCCACGTAACTAATAATTTGAGTTGTATACACATTAATATGAAAGTTCAAAAATTTTAAATTAAATTTAAATTGCTAACTAGTCAAATTTTGACAAAAAAAATTTAAAATCAGTTCATATTAGAAATTTATTTTGAAACTTTTTTTATTTTTTAATATGTATAGAAGACTCCGTGTTAAAAGCTTGCTTTGAGTTCTGAAAAAATCAAAGCCATCCCTTCCTCTGAAAGTATTAAGAGGTCAATTTTGTGTTTAAAATGCTCAACACTTGTCCCCTAAATTTTTTGACTTTTGTGTTGTATATCTCTCTAGATAGTAGGAGGGATGCATTTTTGTTCAGTTTTTGTATATACTGCATCCCCTTTTGTGGCACATTGTTTTTCTTATAAAATTTTATTTCTTAGAAAATATGATATTATGGTTAGAAAATGAGAATATGGGAATGCCTAAATGTTGGCGCAAGGAGTGGAACGGCTTCTTAATAACACGGTTTATATACTGATTGAAGGGACTAAATATGAAATAGGTTAGATCCAAGCCTTGGGCCGGCCCAATCCATTAGACTCAAGTCCAAAGGAGCTGGGTAAACTAATGGGCCAGCCAATTAGGCCCAATTACATCATTAACAATCCACTCAAGTCCTCAAGCACTTGGGCCCAACCCGCAGTGGAAAGGTCAGTCCAGCAATGATGCTGGGCTAGGCTGAGCTGCAGGACCTGATCCTTGGACCAAACCAAAATAGGCCGAGCCCATCTTTGTAAGCAATCTCATAGAGGGCCGAACTGAGGCACGACGGTACCAAGCCAAAGGAACCTATCAGAGAAACGTGGAAGCAGTGAATGCATACATGTGCAAGTTGCCACTTCAGTTGGTCCCCTACACTTACAATTACGGAAATGGTTAATCAAGAGAATGTGGTTTGTTGTCAACATGACTACAATGAGTATATAAACCCTTTATCAACTACCAGATGGTCCTCTACCTTAAGCAACGCTAAAGGAAACTTGACAGCACTAAAGCTCTATGAAATCATCTTGGGTAACAAGTAAGGGGTCCTATATAAACTACACTCACTTTATACTCAGGGTAACTGATCTAAACTAAACCCTACTCATTGGAAACACAACTCTCTACACTTAGAAAGCACCTTCCTCCTTCTCCGATTACTCATTCCCACACCAGAGAGGTTGTCTGGCTAACCCTGGTCGGGCAGCTTTAATGGTGTTCCTTATTGTAGAATCTTCATTTTTGGATAGTCCAATCAAGTGTGGAACTCCGATCC